AACACTTTTCAAAGTGTTAAAAGGTTAACACCTATTTTTTTGTTAAACACTAGATATTGTTAATATTCAACAATACCGAGTGTCACATTGACATTACAACGGTGTTAGCGTTAAAATATAATGTAAAAAGTAACACTAATGTAGTGTTAACCTCAAATATAATGTCGTGTTAAAAAGGTAAATAATTGACCCCACAAGGTGTCAATATCAACCAAATCCAGTGGTAAAAAAAATATTCAAAACAATACACAGAAATGGAAACTTCCACTTTTATTAAACCTATTTCAGTGTTACAGACCTTCAATGCACAGCTCATACAAAACAGGAGCGGGCCACAATATCTGTTCTTTCATCATCATCAGCTGAAAACTGCCTGTCATAAGGCTGATAATATATCAGATTAGAGAGACAAATAATAGCAAACACATCATCCACAATATCTATTCTGAAAGCATTCAGATGATCATCAAAACACTCTGTAATGACTTTAGCACACAGCAAATTTGAAATTGTAAATTGAACACCCTCAGAGTTAAAATGAACACTTTCCCAGGGTTTATATGGGAACCACTGGGAAAGTGTTAAATTAACACTTTTTATTTAGTTAAAATTATTAACACTACACCGTAAAAAAAATTCTGTTGTTTTTACAGAAAAAAACTGGCAGCTGTGGTTACCAGAATAATTCTGTAAAAAATACAGTACAGATTTAAACAACTTTACAGAACAACTTGGAAATTTTACTGGTATTAAATGTACAATAAACGATAACTGGATGTTAATTTACTAGTATTCAATGTAAAATAAACAATAACTGGATGTTAATTTTACCAGTATTCAATGTAAAATAAACGATAACTGGATGTTAATTTACTAGTATTCAATGTAAAATACACGATAACTGGATGTTAATTTTATTAGTATTCAATGTAAAAAACGATAACTGGATGTTAATTTTACTAGTATTCAATGTAAAATAAAGCAAAATCTGCATGTAAAATTTACATAAATAATCAGTATAAAAGCAGCATTGTCCTGTTAAATGAGCAGTACAGGACTGTATAATCTACAACTTTAAAATGTATTTTTTGTTAATTAAAATACAATTTTAGGATGTAAAATTTACAAGTTGTTCTGTAAAGTTGTTTACATCTGTACAGTATTTTTTACAGAATTATTCTGGTAACCACAGCTGCCAGTTTTTTTCTGTAAAAACAACTGGACTTTTTTTTTTTTTTTACAGTAAAATGCAGGATTAAGACGCTTTTATAG